GAGACGGGGTTTCACCATGTTGACCAGGATGGTCTCGATCTCTTGACCTCGTGATCCACCCGCCTCGGCCTCCCACAGTGCTGGGATTACAGGCTTGAGCCACCGCGCCCGGCCGCATATATATTTTTTGAGACAGGATCTGGCTGTGTCAGGTCAGAGTGGGATGGTACAATCATGACTCACTGAAGCCTTGACCTCGTGAGCTCAGGCGATTCTCCTGCCTCAATCTCCCAGGTACCTGGGACCCCAGACACGTTCCATCACACCCAGCTGAAGTTTTTCTTTTTTGTTTTCCTTGGTCGACTGATTGTCTAATTTCTGTAGAAATGGGATCTTGCTATATTGCCCCGACTGGTGGTAAACTGCCAGTCTTAAGGGATTCTCCTGTCTCAGCCTCCCCAAATGCTGGGATCACAGGCAGGCGCCACCATGCCCGGCCCGATGCATCTTTAAGAACTAGAGCTGTGTGCATTCACTGGGGAAGAGCCTGGCTGTGCCCACCAGCTCGGGGTCCACTGGGTCATGACCCCCACCCACATCTACTCACAGAGTAGTGGGGCAGGCCGGGTGCGGCGGCTCACACCTGTCATCCCAGCGCGTGGGGAGGCTGAGGTGGGTGGATCGCCTGAGCTCAGGACCTCAAGACCACCCCGAGCAACATGATGAAGCCCCGTCTCTACTAAAAACAGAAAAATTAGCCTGACCTGGTGGCGGGCACCAGTCATCCCAGCTAGTCGGGAGGCCGAGACCTGAGAATGCCGGAACTTGAAAGGCGGGGGTCACGGTGAGCCGAGACGGCACCCCTGCACCCCATTCTGGGTGACCGAGGGACAAAGTGTCTCAAAACAAAGAAGTTATTCAACAAACATACCGGCTGGTTCCCCGAGTGAGGCAAATCAAGCTGGGGCAAGCGGCGGGCGTCGCAGTCCTCAGTGGGCTCACCTGTTAGGGCAGGTGACAGCAATAGGCCCTTCAGCAGGCTGCGGGGTGATGGATTACAGATATATATATATATATAGATATATATATATATATATATATATATAGATATATATATATATATGTGTGTGTGTGTGTGTGTGTGTGTGTGCGTGCGTGTGTGTGTGCATTTTGTCCTCAGACCCTCACACCCTGGGACCCTCAGACCCTCAGACCCTGGGACCCTCAGACCCTCAGACCCTCTCCTCAGACCCTCGAACCCTCAGACCCTCAGACCCTCTCCTCAGACCCTCGGACCCTCAGACCCTCTCCTCAGACCCTCAGACCCTCTCCTCAGACCCTCAGACCCTCAGACCCTC